ACAAACGAGGTTTCTTTTTCACACAAACTTCGGAGGGATTTGGAGCGTCAGCAGGTCGCCTAGGGACAATCTGCCAAGCATTAATTTTAGCTTGACGTAGGGATGCAGGGACAAACGGGCGCTACGTCATCGGCGAAGCCGTTCAATCAGCAGGCTTCTCGCGCCCCTCACTCGCCGCACGCGCGCCTCGATGAACTTTGCTACATTCTGCCTCTCTCAAAGAAATGAGCGTTCGAAAGATTGACACCTCGCTCGGTGCGACGTCAGTGTCGCAAGAGTCCAATTAGCGCGTTCCGAAAACTTCGGGCACAAAGTTGTGCTTGACGAGTTTAGCGACCCGGTTGTACTTTTTATAGCACATTACTAGAATTGTGCGAATAGTCGATTTCGATTTCGAACCAAATTCGAAGCGAATAGTAATTTAGGTCGAATATTTTCAAATCAAATATCGAATACTTGCCGTTCAAAAAACTTGGCCGCTTTAGAGGGAAGTTTACAGAAATACTTTCAAACTGGACTTCTCATGCTGTCGTTAGTCCATCTTGCCAACCGACTTAGCTGGCGTCATTTTGACAATGTCGAAGTCATCCACTCACCTTGCCGCCGTAATAATATAATATTCCTTCGAAATATTATAGTTTAAATGTTTAGAAACCGTGTTTATGAGTTTTATCAGAAATAAAAGTTTCTGAGCAATTATGGATGTTATGAGAAATTTCTGAATGTATTTATTTTTATCCTAAACCTGTTTTTTCTAAATTTGTCTGGACGTGGCGGTGGTGAGAAAAGAGTGCTGACAACCAGGGCACCAAGGTTGGCATTGATGGCACCGGCGTCTCTGGAGTTCGTTGCTCGGTTTCTTTTGCCCGTTATTAAAAAAAGTCGATGAAATAATTACGATGATTACATTTCAAAGTTCGCACCATAACAATCAAACCATTTTGCCCAACGTGTGAGCATTTTCTTGATTTTAGATATCGTTTCTTTCTTGTCTTTAGACAGTAAACAAACCTGCGACCGTGAGTTTGCGAACACTTCGAAAAGCATGAATATTACAACTGCTCTCGAAGCGAATATCGAGTAGAGTACTATTCGAAACTACTATTCGAAAACTCGAATATTCGCACAACACTACACATTACCACTGCTGTAATAGCCCTGCAATGTGTGACAGTATCATTAAATAAATAAATAAATGAAAGACATTTACAACACCCTGTAACGCCGAATTAGAGCACAGCATTTGGGGAGGAGGGGGAAAGGGTACTAACGGGAAGGTATACCCCTCCGCCCTCCTCCTCATCCTCCCTGCTACTTCTCCTCCCCTCCTCCCTCCTCTTCCACCTCCTCTTTCTTCTCCTCCTGCACCTCCTCCCCTCCTCCCTCCTCCCCTCCCTCATCTCCTCCTCATCCCTCCTCCTCCCCTCTTCCCTTTTCTTCCCCCTCCTCCACCCTCCTACCCTCCACCTACCTCCTACTTCCTCCTCCCCTCCCCTCGTCCTCCTCTTCCTCCTCCTTCCCCTCCCATCCCCCTCCTCCTCTTCCACGCAGGTTGTATCATGGGGAATGTCCCATAATGCACTTCACGGGCCCCTCGTGACGTCACCTGTAACGTCACGATTCCCGCGCGTTGCATTTTGAGACATTCTCCATAATGCACCGCGCGGTTACGCCGACGGCGACGCCGACGCCGAAGCCACTCAAGCCGGAAACGGGCGCCTAAGAGCGCTCTAGAAAAGCAAACGACCAATCCAACAGATAAGAGATTCCGATAGCACTTGTCTAGGACCACCTCAAGGACGACGTCTAAGACGACGTCCTAGAGAACGACATCGTCAAGAACGACGTCGTCCTCGACGTCGTGGAAAGCGACATGAAAAGCGACGTCTAGGAAGACCTCTAGGGCAATCTGAAGGGAGATCTTAAGGAAGACGTCGAGGGCGACGTCTAGAATATTTTTTTAGGGCGATCCGAAGGACCACTTCAGAATGATCTCAAGAAAGACGTCGTAGACATCCTGGACGACGTCAAAGACGACTCTAGGACGACCTCTAGGGTGACCTCCTGGACGACCCCAAGAATGACGTCTAGGATGACCTCAAGGACGACCTTTAGGACAAATGCAAGGACGACCTTTTATGAAGACGTCAAGGCCGTCATCTAGGATGACGTCGAGGACGACGTTAAACTCGTCAGGTTCTTCGAAGAATGTGTGAATGTGAAAATGTGAGCTGAAACGCTCTACTGCTCATTCCTACTGCGTATTAGGAGGCCGTAGAGTATGGGGGGTAGCTGAATAATACTATCGCATTAAAAGGACGCTCGTGCGCACTGCGCGGCTCTCGGCAGAAGGCACGGCGGAGCGTCAGGGAACGCGGCGATGCAAATCCATTGGCGCTCCGGAGGTATGTGTGTGACCTATCTTTCGTCAAAGTGAAAGTTAAATTTGGGAGTTTTCCGTGCCAAGACAACGACGGGCATCTGGCACACCCCAGCGGAGGACTGAGGATTAATTTCGACCACCTGGGGATTTGTTTTACGTGCAACTAAATGCTCGGTTACACGGCGCCTTCTCCGCAAGAAGCCTCCGTCAGATTGCGAGCACCTCGGCAGGGATTCGAACCCACCACATGGGGATCCCTATGCCGGCGCTCTCGCCTCGGAGCCACCGAGGCGGCACCTCTCTTTCGTGACCACGTTTTCGTGAGATCGGTCTCTCAGCTTTGCAGCTCCTTCCAAGCGCGGAGAGAGGCGTACTTCTGCGTCAAAAAACCGAAACCTGACCTGGGTACTCTACGACGCCACCTCGCAGACCATGCACGCAAAGGGATAAGTGCTGTCGACAGATGGCGTACGCACCGTCGATGCAGCCCCAGTCGATTCGGGTTCCTTTGCAGGGTCGTATGCAGGCTATCGTAACTCGATTCGCCCGGCAGTCCCTCGACGTGGCGTACGCCATTTGTCGGCAGCAATTATCTCTATGCGTGCATCCTCTGCGAAGTCGCGGCGTAGATTGCCGAGAACAAGTTTCTTTATTTTGTTTGCTTCTTTATTTTAAATAGATAAATTTACTACCTGATTTTTTTTTGCTGTGAACTTCCACCACCTGCTTCCACTTCTGTAGTAAATCGCAGCGCCATAGGTTCAGAAACCGATTTTGCGGGCCGTCTAAATTGCCCTAAAACGTTAATCTTCATGCTGTAGATTACCGCGCTCCTTTTTCAAACTGCCTGATCCGTAGCAGGAGAAACCATGTGCACTTTTCTGCGTGGGGACGCTGCAACCCCAATTATTTTTGCTGTTCTACGCTGCTGCTCAGCGGGTTCTGTTTCACATTGCTCAGTGATTTACCCTTGTGTCCCGAAATGCAGGTCGACATTGGGGAAGACTTTTGGCGCGCCTATCTACCGGTGTTTCAACGATGAATTGCTATGCAACGCGTAGAAGACAATACTAAGGGGAATCTTTATTACGTCTAAGCGGGCTTTAAAGGGGAACTCCGCCGATTTTTTGGTATACTTCGATTTGGCTGGGAATTTGCAGACCGCGTCAATAACCCTTTCTCCAATGATAAACAAAATATTTTAAGAAAAGAAAAATTTTCCGTGAAGTTATTGAATTTTCAAGATACGCCGGCCGCGAGGGTTCCAGGAGGCGACTTTCTACTGGCCACAATGAAAAATCCCTACTTTTCCCTACCCGCGTACGTCACGAAGGTGCTGGCAGACGAGCGACTCGGGCAGCCGCGGCCCGCGAAGTGGCTTTCCGGACGCCAGCGATCGAGATAATTTTTCCGCAGCTTCAAGTTTGAAAGTTCCTTTGCAATGGGTAGCAATACGTGCTCCGCGATAGACTGTAAAAACAGTGCCGGGAAAAAGCTTCTTTTTTTACCCTTCTTTTCGTGGGAGAAATAAAGACAGCGCTCCCCGGCAGCATTGGAGGCCAGCCGCGTCCAGGTGCTTTTGCGCGAGCTGTGTGCCGAGAAAACGAGTTTCACGTGAAACATTTTAACTTTTGCTCGGAATACTTTATAGCCGCGTTCTGCGAGTTCAGTTTCCTTCAGCAGCTGAAACAGCTTCAAAAGCGGCAAGCGCAAACTCAAGCCGGCTGTGACCATTACGACACCCGTCTAAAGAAGGGCGCTAATAATATCGAGAAATACAGTACACGATCTAGCACTACAGTCGACATTTCGCAAAGTCACATTTGTTATTTACAATTGGCTGAGTGATTTTTTTTTTTACTTTTTATAAACGCTTTTTGTTTCGGACATCGAATCTAGCTCGGGCTACTCTCGGAGTTCTACTCACGCGGCCGATATGTTGAAGACGAGAAGTGAAACGTCTAAACAAAGTTCAAGTCTGAATTTAGAGATGGCTTTCGACATATTGCCATTCCTGTCTGCTATTACAGGGGTTTACGGAGCAGGTGTTGAGCTCCTTAAAATACGACAGAGCCTTCCTGGTTCGTTAAACGGTTGGCGTGCAATATTGTTTGCAGAAAAAGTGGTGACCACGTGTTTAATTTATTCCATTGCGGAGAAATTTTATATAGGGCTGAAGTTTTTTTTAACAATGAAAATATTAATGTTGTTGAGGGGAGGCATTCAGATTTACAGCTGATGAAAACTGTGCTAACAAAAAATGTTATATAGAATTACCCTTTTCCCAAGAGCTCTCGTGGATGGGTGTTTGAACGCGTTGCATTCTACTCGAAAAGTAAAGAGAAAAAATACGGGTACATATTTTTAGCAACTTTTGTTAACTTATTTTTAATTAAAAGATTTATGATGTCTTTCTGTACTTCACGCACTATTGTATCTTCAAGCAAATATTCTTCATTTTGAGATGAACAGTGTATTTGTGTATTTTATAGGCATTCCAAACCAGTCCCATGACCCGTATTCAAGACTTCTACAATACCCTCAGGGGAGCAGATATTGATGTTTTTAACCCAAATTTTGTAGCTTTCAAGACTGTTGTAACTAACCTGTGAACATTTTGTTGTGCATCGTTACCAAGGCGTCAAGCTGTTCATGAGCCCAGAAAATAAACAAATGAATGAATTCCATTGCACCTTGATGTTTGGCTTGGTGGTTTCGAAGTTCTTTTAATCGTCATTTTAAAACGATCTTCATGACCTGCCATCTGATCTACACGAATGCAGTTCATTCATTCTATGCATTTCATTGTTCACGAGAATCACAGTTTACATGTCTTAGGTCCCAGCCCAGCACGACCATGTTCATAGCATTGGAAGGCGAGCAATCTACGCGCCACACGCACTAACGCTGAAAATGGCATCGACCAGAAGCGCGTTTCAGAAATGGTCTACGGATCTTTTGCTAAATTACTTAAGCACCAAGGAGCATATTCATGCCACATGAGTAGTTACACGTGCTGACGCCTGCATCAGCAACTTTTCAAAAGGAGATCTAAAACAAATGGCAGGTTCCTTCAGGTCATACGAGCGTGTGGGGCATCTGTACCCACATTCCGAGCATTTTCCGCGATGCTTTGGCAATTCGTCAAATAATATATTGCGTGACCTTCGACCTTTCTTCACCAGCCATCTTCTAATAAAAGAAGAACGGGTTTACTGGCGATATTACGAAATAGCGAGCCGCGGCTTGAGCGTAGCGAGTTGCAAAAACGGTAAAATTCCAATTGCTTCCGTTCTTATTTTATTTTTTTTTTTACTTTCTTATAGGAAGCATACACTGGACGCCATATTTGTGGGTGCTGTTTAGAGCGCATGCCCAGAACGAGCTCACATCAGTAGGCTGCTAAGACCGGCGTTCTCGATGCTGCGGAATGCACGTTTCAAAAGAACTGTGGAAGCTCGCCGTCAGCACGCGCTCAGAATTCGCGCACACAGCTATGGCCGCCAGTGAATACTCCCTATAGTTAGGCACGTAGGCCAAGGCCATACTTTGTGCAAATATAGATAATTATCAGCTTCAAACAGCACGAACGGCCGGGCTCTTTTGCTCTTAGACGCGAGAAAGGCGGGCGCGAGCGTACCCGATTGCCGGCCGCGCGCATCGCTGCACACAAGTGACGTCACGCTTGGGCGGCGGGGAAAACTGGGGAAAACCTAGGGAGAACTATGTTTCAGTTTCGGCAGCAAACAAAATATCACTTTTTTAATTAACTAGAGTGAATCTGGGAGAACGACATAGCATTTCGGAATCAGGAAGCCATCCGCATTCAGATTATACCTTTGGATTAGGTAGCTCAAAGTGGCGGCGGAGTTCCCCTTTAAACAGAGAAATTGTGTACCGTGATTTTGCGCAAAGACGCTACTTCTTGTGCCCTGCTCACGGCATTCGCTGGGTCTTCGAAGGACCAAATGCCTGCACCTAAGAAAGTCTGAAGTGTACTCTGTTTCTAAGCTGTCGGCATTTTTGGCTGAAATGCAGAAAGCGAAATATGAAAGATGTTTACAAATCTCTGTGATGCGAAATTAGAGCACAGCTTTTGAGGAGGAGGGGGAAGGTACCGAAGGGGAGGTGGAGGGGAGCGCAGGATAAGGAGGAGGGGAGAAGAGGGTAATTAAAGGAGGAGGAGGGGATAGAAGAAGGAACAGAAGGGTGGAGGAGGTGGAGGGGAGGAGGAAGGGAGGGTATGCCCCTCCTCCTCCTGCGTACCCTCACCTCCTCCTCCTCCTCCTCCTCCTTCCATCCTGCTCCCCTCATATCCTGCTGCTTTCCTCCTCACCTCCTCCCCTCCTTCTTTCTGCTCCTCCTCTCCCCTCTCCTCTCCCCTCCTCCTCCTTTCATTATCCTCCTCTCTGCTGCTACGACTCCTTTCTTTCTCCTCCTCCTCTTTCCTTAGGAAATTGGAAACAGCGCACAAAAAGACGACGACAACGAGAGAAGAGCACAGGACAAGCGCTGACTATCAACTGAAGTTTTATTAAAAACGGCTCAAATAAGAAAAAACACTCAGCCAACCAACGCCGAAACAACCAATGGCGTTTCGCTTACCATGCATCTATAAAATCGATGTCTTTTTTGTGCAGATAAACCGAAGGCTGGCTGACGCAGTGCCCCGCGCCAGCTTTTTCGATAGCATACGCCTCCAGCACCTCTCTTTGCACTTTTGTGCGCCCCCTGCCAATGATTAAGGTATCTTGGAAGACGGGGTGACACTGGCGGTCTCTGCAATGTACGTATAAGTGACCTCCTGTCATTGACCGCAGGGAATTCGCATGCTCACGCATTCTCTCGTTGACGCAGCGTCCCGATTGTTCTACATAAACCCGCCCGCATGACAATGGAATTTTGTAGATGACACCCAGAACGCAATCCACGAACTTGTTGACATCCTTAACCGTACATGACATCTTGTTACTGCTTGCCTGGTTTACGCGCGGGCAAAGTTGTGCTAATTTTTGAGGCACCGAAAAAAACAATGGCACATTGAACCGGTTAGCCACTTTTTTTTTAAATTATGTGAAACCTTATGTATATTTGGGACAACCTGAGGACTTTGTTTAGGCTTTACTTTAGGTTTCTGAGAACCGCTCTTGACTTTTTTCAAGAGTGTCTGAGAGACACCAAGCAAAACGGACAGAGGAAATCCTGCTCCTAAAAGACGCTTGACCTGAGCTTCATAGCTGTCAAGCATGGCATGGTGACAGGACCTGTACAGTGAAGCTTGGAGGCATGACGTGGCAATGTTTCGTTTCACAAGTTTAGAGTGGGCGGAATCGTATGGCAGGATTTCCTTCTTGGTTCGCGGGTTGTAGCGCCAACACACATGTTGCCCAGTGAATTGCAGCCGTAAATCCAAAAACTGCAAGTAGTGACCGTCTTGCAGTTCGTATGTGAACGTTAGGCCTGGAGAGCAGCGCTTGAAAACGGTTATTACATCATCTACAATCTTTTGCAAAGACAATCTGCCGACACCCCTTAAGAACATCAGATAATCGTCAACATATCTGTATATCTTGCACACCTGTTGACACAATGCCGTTTGTATAGACCTATCGAACTTCGCTAGGTAAATGTCGCATAGCAAAAGAAAGTCAAGAGCGGATCTCAGGAACCTAAAGTAAAGCCTAAACAAACATATATACATAAGCCTAAACATATATACATAAGGTTTCACATAATTAAAAAAAGTGGCTAACCGGTTCATTATGCCAATGGTTTTTTCGGCGCCTCAAAAATTAGGACAACTTTGCCCGCGCGTAAACCAGGCAAGCAGTAATAAGATGTCATGTACGGTTAAGCATGCCAACAAGTTCGTGGATTACGTTGTGGGTGTCATCTACAAAATTTCATTGTCATGCGGACGAATTTATATAGGACAATCGGGACGCTGCGTCAACGAGAGAATCCGTGAGCATGCGAATCCCCTGCGGTCAATAACAGGAGGTCACTTATACGTACATTGCAGAGACTGCCAGTGTCACCCCGTCCTCCAAGATACCTTAATCATTGGCAGGGGGCGCACAAAAGCGCAAAGAGAGGTGCTGCAGGCGCATGCTATCAAAAAAGCTGGCGCGGGGCACTGCGTCAGCCAGCCTTCGGTTTATCTGCACAAAAAAAGATCCATTTTATAGATGCATGGTAGGCGACACGCCATTGGTTGTTTCGGTGTTGGTTGGCTGTGTGGTGTTCTCTTGTTTTGAGCCGTTTTTATTAAAACTTCAGTTGATAGTCAGTGCTTGTCCTGTGCTCTTCTCTCGTTGTCTTCGTCCTTTTGCGCGCTGTTTCAAATTTCCTAAGTCATGAACCAACTCGCTTGCATCACCACCTTAATACAGTTCCTCTTTCCTCCTTCTCCTCCTCCACCGTACCTTTCCCGCCTCCTCCGTACGTGACGTCAATTTTTTTGCTAAATCTAGCGGAGAAACTGAATTTGTTCCTAGGTGACCTGACACCAAGTCAGGCAATGTCATTTTGCAGGCTATATTTAGAGGGGAAGCTGAATTGGGATTCAAGTCAAGTGACGTCAATTTTCCCTATAAATTTAGCAGAAAACTGAGTTGCTGTTGAGGCCACGAGAAGTCAACGTTCCCATTAAATTTAGCGGGGAATAGAATTGGTGTTGAGGACACGTGTAGTCAGTTTTCACGCTAAATTTAGCGCGATTACGCCGACGCCGACGCCGACTGGGCTCAAGTATGTGGATGTGCCGTGTTACAACCATGGACGTCATCCTGCCTCATTGGAGAGGCCGTAAAACAGCTAGACCGTATCCATCAGTCCGGCCGTGACGTGCCGTTACAGCTTTTAGAGCGCATTTCTTAAGCGCCCGTTTCCGGCTTGAGCGGCGTCGGCGTCGCCGTCAGCGTAACGGCGCGGTGCATTCTGGGTAAATTTCCCCGCTAAATTTAGCGGGAAAATTTCCCCACTAAATCTAGTGGAAAAATTTCCCCGCTAGATCTAGCGGGAAAATGTTCCTGCTAAATGTCGCGGAAAAATATTCCCGCTAAATCTGGCGGGAAATTTTCCCCGCTAAAATTAGCTGAAAAATTTCCGCGCTAAATCTAGCCGAAATATTTCCCCGGTAAATCTAGCGGTAAAATTTCTCCACTAAATCTTGTGGAAAAAATTCCCCTGCTAGATCTAGCAGAAATTTTCCGCGCTAGATCTAACGGGAAAATTTCCCCGCTAAATCTAACGGAAAACTTTCCCCGCTAGATGTAGCGGAAAAATATCCCCGCTAAATTTAGCGGAACAAGTTCCCCGCTAAATCTAGTGAAAAAAATTCCCCGCTAGATTTAGCGGAAAGGTTTCCCCGCTAAATCTAGCGGTACAATATTTCTCGGGGGTCACGTGACCCCTCAAGGTCACGTGCCCCCCCCAAGGTCATGTGACCCCCCCCCCCCGAGGTCATGTGACCCCCCTCCCCGAGGTCACGTGACTCTCCTCCCCTCCCCCCCCCCGGGGTCACATGACTGCTCCCCCCTTCCAGTACCCTTTCCTACTCCTCCTCAAGAGCTGCGCTCTAGTTCGGCATTACAGGGAATTGTAAACGGCTTTCATTTTTGTTTTAGCCGCTAGGTGCAGCTGATTTTGCAGAAGTGGCCAAAACGTTTCTGAAGATTATAAACTTTTAGTAGACCATGCGCTAAAGTTTCACGTTGTCAGCGGGACTGGTGCCTCCACTCCCATGCATGATTTGAGCAACCTTCCGCTAGGACAGCAATTCCCAACGTACCGTCTGCTCAAACACTATTGAAGACACCATGAAATAAATTTTCGTCTGAGATAAATTGGGATTTGACTAATCACATATCGTTTAGTGCGTCAAACTAAAACTAGTGCAGGAGCATAGAGAGCCTGAAGCCTGCTTTTCGGTACGAACATTTCAAAATATAGCAGTATATATGGTACCTTCTTTGCTTCGAATGCCCTCCGCCTTTTCACTGTGATATAACTGCGGTGCTCATGCACGTCAGCCGTACCCAGTTCAAGCAACGGGCATGAGCACTGCGTAGCTCGGACGTGCGCGCTCGTCAACAATCAATCCGTCGATGAATATTTGAATTAGCGTTCGTGGTCAATGAGCGCCGCGACGGCACTTATCCTCCCTTGAGAATGACAAGCTTCACGGTGTGCTTAAAAAGCACGGTGGGAGCTTGGAGTCAAAACCTCCCGTGCCCGAGCACGTCACGACGACATGATTTCTCATTTCAATTTTTATTTGAAGATTAAAGTAAGTAGGAAGAATTTGGAAAATAAGTTCATGGTCTCGTTAAAGCAAAAGAAGCTTCCTTCTCTAAAACCCGTAAGTCTGAATTGCTATACACATCTTTCGTTCACGCTCGTGCTCAGCCCCCCCCCCCCCCCTTTGCTCAACTTCCAATATTCAAAATACTGAAGACTACAGGGATAAAGATCATATAAGAAAATGATTCATTCCTATTGCGTAAAAAAAAAAGAAAAAAAGAAAAAAGAAGAAAAAAACATCCGCTAACGCGCAAGTTTCCGACTACAGAGAGTTGGTCTGCCATCAACAATATACGTTTTATAAAATCGCCAAGTCGATGGTGTATACCATGTATCTCTGCGCAGTAGTTCGACACAGAATAGCCACTGGTCCACTAGCCCTCCTTTTTGTCGAAATATTTTTTTTTTCGGAGTGTCGTTGTACTTAAGCTTTGGCGGGAGCTATTCAATTAAACTTGCAACAGACCTGAACTTTCCGCTGTTCTTTTCAGCATATTTCTCAGAAGTGGCGATGTTAAACATACGCAGACAGATATCATCGCTCATGTCCAATTAAATTATACGCTCTAAAAAAAAAAAATACTTTTACGGCAAGACATATAAATCTTAGGTTTTGCGCTGCACCACTTGACATGTAACCACTCTCACCGATTTCACCGAGTTGTTTTTCCGCTAACTTTAAGGAACCTGTTAAACGGCAAACGGTAAGGGCCACTGTAATTAATGCTTAACTATTCAATAATCAAATATATGCATACTACTACTATCTTGAATGGGGTGTCATATAAGACGCCTGTGCATCCAAACTGCTGATAAACGCATTCTACAATCCTCCGCTTTTGTCCAGTACGTCTTAGTCTCACATCATTTTTTGCATGCTCTGGTGCAGAGTGATAAACATATTGGTTTATGCTTTTCTTCGGCGGAACCATAGCGTGTTGGCAAGGTTCATTTGTTGCTTTAGAGATTTCATGTAAATACGTGTATTTAGCTGTTTTCGTCCTTAATACAATGGGACTGCCACCTGTTCCTGCAGCGTCGACGAGTCTCAGAGACACGCCAAATGACGCCGCGGGGACGCTACAGCGGCGCAGCCTGGGGGCTTGCCGGGCTCCTACTGCTGTGCGCATGTATTTCGTCCTCTGCCAGGGAGTACTACGCCCGCTGGGATCATCTGGACAGCAGGCCTGTGCCAGCGTGGTTTGACGAGGCCAAGGTAAATTAAAATAAAAGCGGGTTGGAGGCGGGTGTTGAAACTACAGTCAAAAGCAAAGCTTACTCATATATCCAACAATGTCAAAACATATGAATGCTATATCCGTTGGCCCAAGACAACACACACAAAAAGACATTATCATGGAGATATTATGTGACCTTACTAAAACAACAGACAGATTTAGTATAGCGTTGCTGGATCTTACGTACGCCATACGCAATAGTATAGCGTACGCTAAAAATGACCTGCTCGGACTAAATTTAGCTGTGCGTCACGTTTTCGAGTGAACACCGCGCATGATCTTGGTTAAATTTGCTAGAGCCGTAGAATTCCGCGTGCTTATAGCACAACCCTGCTCCCGGAAAGGAATATTGAAAAAGAAAAAGTCCAATCGTTTTATTTCAGATCAAACCAAGCCACAGCTGCCTCGTCAAGCGCGCTTTTCAGCGGGGTACAGAGGCTGCGAGTACGAGTGCGTAGCCAAATTCGATCACGGAGCCTCCGTTAGTTGTCCCGTGGAAATGGCACCTTTTATCAATGCTATCGCGGAATGAAATTCATGACCCTGATGTCCAGTGCATAGCGAGAACTTCGGCGATTTCTTTTAGAATCGTTCGTCCGTCGGCGATGAACTGTGAGAGTAGGCTTAGCGTAGAGCAGATCGCAGCGTCGACGCACACTGCGAGCGGCGAACATTTCCACTGTGCACTCCTTCAGCTGCAGGGCGATCTGATTCGACCGCGGTAGGTCCCAGAAAGAATCGCCGAGCTGAACACCACGCAATTTCACGTAACGCAGAACTTCGAAAACACCACGTCCCCCTTGCTGCGCCAGTCGAGGCAACCACCATCTTGAAACTGGCGCTCTCGTTGGGTCCGAGATCTCTCGAGAGCGTCCCGCAAGGCCCGCTAGCCAGCAACGCAAAATCCCCAGCGTTGCGTGCGTACGCAATACTCTAGCCCCTCTATTGCGTTCTGCGCATGCGCGCTCACGACCCGCAATTTTTTTGCGTACGCAAAGCTATAGCGTACGGTCCACTAAAACTGTCTATTATCATCAGTATTATACCGTTCAAACTACGTCCGACCATTCGCTGGCAAGAGACAACAATGGTCGCAGTGAGCCAATCGAGGATTTGCAGAGGGACACGTGACTATATTCTATCTCACTAGTTACGTGCAGTTGCAACCTTTACTTTTTACGAAGTTTAAGTGATGGCCTAATCATCGTTAAGAGGGACAGAAAAGCGACGCCTGGGACACACAAAATGGACCGTGTCAGAAGGAGGGCTCCGCCTCCCTTTCTTCTCCAACTACTTTCGCTACGTTTTTACTCCTGTGCCATTGGTAAGGGCTGTCACTCACTTAGCCTCCGGAGTTTTGATTGTCTTGAAGACGCGGCAGCGTTTTCCTTTTTCCACGTTACAGTGAAACGAATTATAGTCTGTGAGGTGTGAGGACTGAGTCAGCACCACCTACCAGAGGTCGGCATTTTAGGTCGCCCTCACTCACCCTCACCCTCACAGCCAAACTCACCTAGGCCCCTCACTCACCCTCACCCTCACAGCTACGCTCACCCTCAGCTCCTCACTCACCCTCATCCTCACAGCCACACTCACCTTCAGCCCTTCACTCACCCTCACTGAACCTCACGCCCCTCACGCTAATCATGGCCCTCGCGCACTCACCGCCCTTACGCACTCATGACCCTCACGCCCCTCACCGCCCTCACAGCCGTCACGCCACTCATCGCCCTCACGCCCCTCACTCACTCATGGCCCTCACGCCACTCACGCACTCACCGCCCTCACGGCTCTTACAGCCGTCACACCCCTCACGCCTCTCACGCCCCTCACGCACTCACGGCCCTCTCGCATTCATGGCCCTCACGCCACTGAGGCCGGCTTCACATGGGGCAATTTCGCCTAGAAACTTGACGTCGCAACACCAGCAACACGCGCCACCCGTGTTCACGCGTAGAAACGAATTGCTGCAATTTGCCATCATCATCATGAAATTTTATTTTTCTTCCACTATTTAGACACACAATTACACTCTATGAACCTGTTTTTATGCATTAAAATGTCGTTGAGATTACTAATGCATCGTTCACAAGCAGTTTATTTCCAAAAACGATCCATTTCAAACCAGAACCAATTCTTTTGTTGTCATCATCACCGGCACGAGGTATCACGTAAAAATATCACGTGCCTGATTCGATGCAGCCGCTTCAAACGTGTTCGAATTGCTCCGAGTTGCTCGCTTGTTTCGAGCCGGACCCCATCTCAGCAATTCGTGTCGATCTAAGGAAAACTACGGAACAACCTGCCAGCAGCACCAAAATTGCTGAGAAAGTTGCTCCATCTGAAGGGGACTCACGCACTCACCGCCCTCACGCACTCATGGCCCTCACACCCCTCACGCACTCACCGCCATCACGGCCCTCGCATCCCTCCCTCCCTTCACGCACTCGTGCCACTCGCACACTCACTGCCCTCACGCCCCTCACGCACTCACGGCCCTTACTCACCCTCACACTCATAAATTTTTCTGGTTCAGAAACTCACTCACCCTCATCTCACCCATGAAGCTGAGGGTGAGTGAGGGTGAGTGAGGGGCCTTATGAGTGAGGTTTGCCGAGGTATACCACCTACAGGTAACAAGGACGTAGTGCCGAATTTCTTCTTTCGACCACCGTAGCCCATCGCGGGGACGCAGGTGGACATGAGTGCTACGTGAGTGTTGAGCTTCAACTTGCGATCAGCAACGAAACATACCCCGAGTCCCAACCGAACGCTCACTCAGCGCTCAGGTTCAGTATGTAACCAGATGGCGCAAAACATTTAAAATTCCTCAGCAATGCTTTTATCTACGTATTATGGCAGGATTGTGGTAAAAGGGCTCATGTGGCGCGTTGGAGCGGTGCGAGAAATATACACATAATACCTTTGACCACAACCAAAGCACCGCGATCGTTCAAAATCCATTGAGTGCTACCGCATATTTGTTGCATTTTACTACATGTGTAACTCAAGTGATTTCATCGTCAATGCATGCTGTGTGTGCGTGCTACGCAGGTGGGTGTACTGCTCTACTGGGGCGTGTTCTCGGTGCCGAGCTTCGGCTCCGAGTGGCTCTGGTACCACTGGAAAGGGCGACAGAACAGCCTCTTCTCGGACTTCATGCGCGCCAACTACAGGCCCAACATCACGTACCAGGAGTTTGCATCGAAGTTCACCTGCGAGTTCTACAACCCCGAACACTGGGTCGATCTACTACAGCGATCGGGCGTCAAGTAAGTGCAAGTGACACGATCGCCTGCGACGCAGTTAGCGCCATTAAAAATGAACTGTTTTGAGGTGAGGGTCGTTGGTTTTAGAGACTAATGGCCTGCAGGTTAGCTGAGCGCTGACAGCTTAAACAAACAGGGCGTGGTTTATATTTTAAATATTTTGCTATCTTAATTGTTCGGCGTTATCGAATAACCTCAAAATCTCATTGGCTGCTGAGTTATAATAAAACATTAGGGTCCATATGCCCCGCGTTTCGTAAGCAGACAATGACTCTAGCTTGTTTCCATGGAAGTACTGACGTGCGTTTGAGAAATGCCAAATGTGAACGGTCTTGTAATATTTGCTCCTCGGAACCAAAGATTTTTTTGAACTCTTTATTTAAGTGTTAAGCGATACACCGGAAGTGAAACTTTGGATGCAGTGTACAAGACTGCTTCTTACTGAGATCACAGAGGGCACATCGACTGTGATCCGAAATATACTTTATCTAATCCTAACATAAACGTTCTGTGCCTTGGTATTTTGATACTTACTCATGTTTACTTCATCGTGTCAGATTGTTACCCACCAGAAGGTGCTTGTTTGCTTCAAAGAGGTTTGCGAACGTTTCTTCGAATTCGACTACAGCACATTAAGCCGACAGTCGGAGTTCAGCGTTTCCTGCCAGGAACCGCCACAGGTTTCTAGTGGTATATTTTTTTTTTGTTTCTTTATCATTTACAAAAGACTATCGGGTGTTTGGGTTTATGTTTGGATATTAGAAACTTTGAGCAGTTCAACAGATGCAGACCGCGTGCTTTGCAACAAAATGGAAAAGTTCCTTATTGCCAGTGCACAAATATTTTTTTCTAATATTTTAAAGGGATGCAACAACAAGAGTTCGGCGCTTATTTCATAGTCTATACGTTTTCAAGGGAGCAGTATAACACACCAATCTATTGTTGAAAAAGAGACGAAAATAAATTTTAAATCTAATAAACGATTACTAAATGGCACTTGGTTGATGTCGATAAAGCCACGTTTGTTGTACCCGTCTAGGAACCTTGACAGGTGGTGACGATGCCTGTCTTGCCTATAACTATACAGGCTTTGAGCCAGGCGTCATCCCGTCAGGTCTCCGGCCACTTCGAGAGAAGAGGGGAAAGAGAAACTTCCCTTTCACCGGGAATACTTTTTTTTTCCTGACCTCGCTATTATCCCTCTACAAGATTATAAAAGATTAATCTATCACTCAAAATTCGCACAAAAGCAGCTTGGGGCAAGTTGTAGTGGCCCGATCCCTGGCGTGCCTCGGCCGCTTCGGTGACTGGCATGATTGGGGCATCCTGTCGGCATCAGCCTCGCCGCAGCTTTGCTCGTCCCGAGACAATCTACGTCACGATTGCGCCGAATGTCACGTGCTGTCCATTGGCTGCTCTCCGATTGCCAGAGTGGGCCGTTTATCAGAAAAAATACAGCCATCTGGCCCAAGATACAAACGTGCGATTCTCATTTACGGATATTGTGGATCATATTCAGCCTATTTCTGAGCACATCGGATATGTTTCAAATTTCGTTGAAGTACCTCTTTAAGACTACGGATCATTCACGGAACACGCTGCGAACAACAGGTTACTTCGCTTGGTAGCAAGCTCGTTTCTTTGCGTAAAACGAACGCTACAGGGTAAGGTCCTTTGCTTCTTATCAGCCTTTAGTAGCACGCAAGAGACTAGCAAGAAGCGACATGTGCGCTGGGATAGTAAACATTTTCAAGCTTGGAGGGGACACATTTTGGGTTTTAGAGCGCAGCTTTTAGGTGCCCGTTTCCAGCTTGAGCGGCGCCGCCGTCGGCGTAACCACGCGCGTTGCATTATGGGGCGTCACAGGTTTCCCGCTAAATTTAGCGGGCAAACTGAATTGGTGTTAATGTCGCGTGACGTCAATTTCCCCACAAAGCTTGGCGGGAAAACTTAACCAGCTGAATTTAGTGGTGAAATATTTTTGCCAAATTTTGCAGGGAAGTTTTCCCCCTAAATTTAACAAAGAAATTAAGTCACGTGTCTTCAACACTAATTCAGTTTCCCCGCCAAATTTAGCGGGGAAAATGACGTCACATGACTTCGGGTTACGTCACCCACGAACAAATTCAGCGGAAGGAGGAGAAGATGAGGGGAGGAGGATGAGGAGGAAAGAACGGGAGGACGAGCAGATCAATAGGGGAGGTTATAGGAACAAGAGGAGGGGCATACCCTCGCCGTCGTACCCTCCCCTTTTCGTCCTAAAGAGCTGCGCTCTAATTTCGCGTTACAGAGCTTTGTAAACGTCTTTCATTTTTGTTTTTGAGAAGCGTTCTGGCAATTTGTAGCGACCAGCCCTGTCTAAAAGGGTTTCAAAGGCGCTAAGGCAGAATACGACTCACCAATTTACCAATCGCATTAAGGATAAAAAAAATTAAAAAAAAATCTAATTTGTCGGCATTGAGCTGCGACTAGTCCGACTCGCTTTCCATGCACGTACAACTAAAATAAAGCACCTTCTATAGTGTCTGGAGAGTGTGAACGGGAAGATGATTTACAATGACGCAAACACTCAAATATTTGAGCCGTAGTCAAGTTAAGAAAGTACCACATAAATACGTACCAACCACGTAGTCAAATAACTCCACGAATCAACCGAAGGCGAAGTATGTACCGTGAGGGCGTCCCTGTATCTGACTATTCACGCATCGCGGAGTAGCACTAGCTGGTTGTAAAGAGATTGTGGGAGCTGCAGCTTCTGTCGCATTTGTTTACTTGTAAATTAGTTATTGTTTGGTCCTCGTTTCTCGCGCAGATACGCTGTGTTCACAGCAAAGCACTTTGAGGGCTACGCGATGTGGCCATCCAAATACTCCTGGAACTGGAATTCTAAGGACGTGGGCCCTGAAAGAGACCTGCTTGGTAAGGATGTGAAAGAGTCGTGACATTCCTTAGCAGAAAGTAATACGTCTGAAATATGGTACGATGTATTTCGAGCATATTTAGAGCATACGTTGTGTTTGGAAATATACTTAACATATACTTATATATTTATCGTATTTTTATTTATTATTATAAACAATTTTAAAGGTGCATGTAATTTACATTTAAAATAAAATGCATTCGCAGTAGGATTTAAATATGCCAAAATACTTCAATGCAAACATAATATGTTCCGAATACCACTCAAAATTAATTAATAATTTAACAAAAAACACTCATAAATACACTTTTAACATTACAAACGTATACTTTGCAACCTGTTGCTTAGAATATACTTTGAGTCCATTTTTATGGCGCCATTGTTTTTCCATGGAAGAGAAATTAAAAATATATTTTGTACTTTCGGAGAAAACAAAAAAACAACGCCGAAGAAGTGCTTCTTCCACAGACAACAGCTCGTAGTCCGGCAACGGTCAATTTAGGACCCACTTTTGATTAGGCACGACAGGCATGCGGTGATCCGTTATCAGATTATCCTAATGAAAGTGTTGCGCGTTACTCTAAGTGGCTTTGTTGCTGTAAACACAATCAACCGCCCAAACTAACTTTTCTGATACAATCTCTAAAATTTATTCTATCTTGAATTTATTCCTCTTTTTTCAAGAATGAACTTTCACTACTTTGAATATCGTGTCCCGCAACTGACTACCTCCGAAATTCAGTGCCGCGAAGGGCACCATCTAGGGGAGGCGCTGCGCACCCGTGTGCGAGTTTGCGGGTTTCTAGAAAACATCATTTTATCTAAAACAAAAAGAGAGAGAGAGAAACATGGATAATCTATGATTTTTGGAAATAAATAAAATATGACCACTGATTAGATGCATGAAAATATTTCAGGAATAAAAAAAGTGGCACAGTACAAGAAATGGTGTATATATAACAACTTCTTACCGCAAATTTCAACTAGCACATGGAAAGTGTTGTGATGAACAGCAATGACCTCCACAATCTGGCACCGCAAATTCATCTTCTTCCATCAGGCCTCGTATCTGGGTTAAACGATGTCAAGTTTAGTACAACAAACATGACTTTGATATTTTAATCAGACCCTCTTGGTAGTAAATCTCATCTGTATGTAGCACTTTTTACAATTAAGCTTAAATGCATCATAAATATTGTTTAAGTACAGTGCTAACGTTTTAAAAATATTTTTATTTATATTCCGAACAGATTTCAGAAATATTAAAGCTCTTTCACATCTACTTTGGCGTTTTCTTCTATTAATAAAAAAAATAGGTTACGTGTCTCTCTTATATTCAATATACATGGAAAATACGCGCATATTTCTCGCAACGTGCTAACACTTCACAGCGCACAAAACAACACACTATAAAAATACATACACACAAAGGAATAACTCACGCAGCGCTGCGTGAAAGTTATTTCTCTATATGCATATATTTTATAGTGTGTTGTTTTTGTGCGTTATGGAATGCTAGCATGATTCACCAACTCGCCGAAGCTGAAGTCTTGACCAAGTTATTTATGTCATATTTAAAATATAGGCTCTGCCGATATTCAGCGAAGGCAACGCGGAAAGTTTAAACATACTGGGATGAAGGAAAAAAATTGAAACGATTTGAGATAAGTCTTTAGATAACTAGGAACAATTAAGTTAGTAACCCAGACAGCTGACGTGCGCTTACTCTGAGGCGAGAATTATCTTGCGACTAACTTCTCCGGAGAGATTTGACTTAAAAATTGGCGAGCGGGAAATATTTTGTTAATTTCACTCTAATATTGCATGTATTAAAGGGAAATTGAAGGTGTTGTCTATGTAAGAAAAAAAACAATGCATTCGTCTAACATAGTTTATGAGAAAAACCCGTGATTTGAGAAAATACGATAGACAACACAACTCACAAGGTTTTTCGAGATCTTGTGTGTTGTGCTGTCCATCATCTTTTTTCCACGTTCAGGATTATATCTTAAATTATGCTAAACTTTCACCAGCTTGTTCGCGCCCTAGCTTTCTGTTCATAAATCGTCTTCATTTGGCCTCCAGGATTATGATTACCAAAATTATATCTCAGATTGATGCTCCAAGTATCCACAACAGCGCTACTAAAATAATCTAGAAGCCCCCCCCCCCCCCCCCCCCCCCCTTTCATGCAGCGTTCGTTGGGAGGAGGGAGTTGTGGCGTATTATACACAGACCTCGACATCTCCGCACCTTCCGCAAGCCTTCCCCCAGCGGTCAAAAACGCTGCTCGCGTTCCTCACGAGCGGCATGCATAATGCAGTTGAAACCTCTGGGTATAACGTCACACCCAGCGGTCGGTTATTTTGGTTTTCCTCGCGCATATTTAAAAATTCGAGACAAATGCTTCTGATATTAAAAATTTAAGGGACATAGAACACTTCAATTCACCTCTAACCCGTTTTGTTCTCGGAACTCTTCAGCATCCCTCGAAGAAAGTTCGCCCTTTGAGTGCGCTTGGGGCATTTAAACATTTTCGGCAGGAGAAAACGTATGCATGATGAGGCTGCGCAGAATTATCATGAAAAGATAAAACTGGTTAGAGTACGGTCGATGTAGCCCGTCTCAAAAATACATGTTGTGCTGAAACGCACTTTTTGTTTGATGGCTTTCACCATCGAGTCGTCGATAAATCTTCGTACTTTGATTATGTCCCGCTCTTTACAAATCATTGTGTGAAAACTGATAGGACCAGCATTGTAAATATCCGCTCACGAAGGCACAGAGCTTGCACTGATAGTTAGCAACGCGCGTTTTGCAAGAACAAACTCAAATTTCAAAAGCCCATCAAAATAAAAGCATAAAACATATGCAGAGTTTATAAACATAATGACTATTTCAACATACTAACGTGCTGGCGTTTCGGCGATGTTTTGTAATGGTGTGATTCATAACTTCATTTTGTCTGTTTAAATCTAATTTCCTCGTAAGGAATTTTTCTAAAAACAAAAGGAAAACTAAGTACGGAAACAAGCTGGTGTAAATTAAAAACAAAAAAAAGAAATTACGGAAATTCCCGAGACTATAGAACAACAAAGGGGGAGTCGCTGTGTTTTAGCCATTCGTGTCTTTCTTGTTCTACTTTTTCAGCCAGTGTAGGGTTTTTTGTAATTATATTTCAAAATTCATGCCAACCACTTCACCTTCGCAGTATTTCTTCCTATGTTCTTTCGAATAAGTGTGCACTCCTGCAGGTGACTTCGCCCGAGTCCTGAGGGCCACTAGCCGTCTCAAGCTTGGGGTCTACTACTCTCTGTACGAGTGGTTCAATCCCCTGTTCCTCGATGACAGAGAAGCCAGCTACAAGAAAAACGAATTCGTTAGGGTAATTTCCCACTCTTAATTTAACCGACTAAGTTACAAAAGTATTCTTGATCTTGTTTTTCAAAAATGAAAAAAAAAGAAAGATAACGGGGAGATATATGATAATCCAGAAAGGGGTGGTTCGGTTCCCTTCTACGAGATGAGACAACGCGAGATTGTGAATAGAGCTAGTAAAGTTAGTGATGGTCCGAATTACATGGTTAGATACTTAAGGTGACTGCCTGTAACTTGACACATTCTAGTAACCGTTGTTTCTGACTGGACAGTACAGAAGTCGCATTTCGGTAAGCTTTGGTTTCGCGCTGGTAGCTTTCAGTCCACCAGGCGGTCTGAAATATGAAAGGAGTGTAGAATAAGAATACAATTGCCTTTAATTGTACACATCATTTCTCGTAATTCTTTACCAGCATAATTAGACGAATCCAATTAGCAGGTGCTGATTCATAAATTATAGATCCTCTCCTTTTGACATTCACCGTTCTTGATTTCGGTGCTTTGTACATAACTCATTTGTTTTATTTGGACAGTAGAATCCTCAAAGAAAATCATTGCCATGCACTCTACTGTGGTCTACCTCGCTTTTCGTGCCACTATATTAAATGTACGCATCGCCAAAATCTTCAACCTTTACCGATTGTGGAATTAACGGTTAGGCTAGAAAAGTGTCAATGGGTTAGAAAAGAGTTTTCTGAGATGCACTAATTTCGGGTGTTCACTTTCCAGACTATTCATTCACACATTTTGTCTATGAGCATTTGAGCAGACAAATAATCTGCTTTCTAGATGTATGTTCCGATATAAACACACAACATACTTTATTTCTTGATTACCTCAAATTGCAAGTTCAATTGCCTGTATAACGTTCCTAGGAATTGATCCCACTTCCCGTCGGCCCTCCGATAATTCTTATATACATGTTGGGGTAACAAATTCTTACAATATCTAGAGAATATAGCTTTAACATACCGCTCATTGCGTTGGAAATTTAATGGAAGCTGACTTCTGCGCCTATTGGTCGCACGTGCGAATGAGCGCTGTCATATGACGAGGAGGGTAACAGGCGAAGAGGCGGGGAGGCTTGCCCACGATCAACGCTTGCGCCGCCTCCTCCCGCTGTGTATTGTAAACGCGGCCCATAAACTTCATGAACCCGATGGTAGCAGTTGGAAATACTCAGACCTATCCGTGAAAAAACGGAGGTTGAGGAGGAAACGAGAGTATGCTAGAATTCAGAACGCCGAGCTCTGGTTCGAATGGTTAGTGGACAGACCCTTAAAGCTAGCTGCCTTTGTCTCCACTGCCATAGCTTGCTCTGCGCTCACAAAGCCTGGCAGTTCGGAGACTTTGAGTGCCCGGTCTCAGGTTTGGCGCGCGGGGATCTGATAGCCCAGAGCGTCAAAGAGCCATTTCTTGGAAAGCCTGGAGGTCAGCGCCCAGCTTTTGCAGTGGCGAGAACCCGAAACACTTTTTCGCTCGGGAGAAGTGTGCTTTGGCGTTTCGCTGCAGCGGGGCGCTAGTCATGGGGCTCTACTCTCATCCGTTGTCTGCCGCACCCCTTTTCCATTTCGGTGCCCGCTTCTCGTGGCGATCTGCCAGAGTTTGTCTGTATATAGGATGCTATGTCGCTACAATCGTCGAAGGAGTTCGAATGCGAAAGCCAAACGCCGAACGCCGGTTTGCCACGTTCTAACGGGTTAGGGTTCAGCGGAGACAAAGTGGCTAGCTTTGTAGGTCTACCCACTAATGGGCGAGTTAACTCAACGCTCTCGAGCGCGCTCCAGCGGTCCGAGTGCACTCCAGCTAAACTAAAGTATATATCTCATTTCCGGTGCACGGTGGAGGAGCACGCTCTTCGAGCTCTGTCGTCGGAGATGGTGCGCGAAAGCTCGAACAGGTCGGTTTCCGGTAAGGTGACGGCGTTTCCACTCTCGCGGCCAGTCTCGCGTTGGTGTCACGTGTCTCACGTTTTATTCTCGCGCCGGCTTGAATGCGTGGATGCTTCGACGGCGATCACTTGGCAGCTCGTGAGGTCGTTCGTCATCGTGGGAATGCTGGTAACAGGCATGCATACATCTTTCTAATGCTTCTCGAAGTTCTTAATGCCTTACCAGAATTTCAGGATCACTCGATTCGATAAATTCGGCCATTCAACCGTCATTCTTTGAGGTTTTTGAGAATTCAGAGGACGTTCGGGGTATCTTTAATCGCCGCACCAACAGCTCGCAGCACAAATGCAAGCTCTTGCTGTTGCCGCCGTCTCCGCGCACTTATTTTATCAAAGTCGTCGTCGAACAAACACGTAACCTTGCTTCAGACGGGGCAATTTCTCCAATCAACTTGACGTCGCAACACCAGCAACACTGGCCACCCGTGTTGCACGTATTGCCAATTGAGGAGTTTCAGCGATGGTGTCACCGCCCTGGCGGCCGATCGGCGAAAGAGAACGAAGGGGATAGGTTCGCTGGGCGTCGGCTTTGTGTATATGCGTTGGCCGCGAACGTAGGCTTATAAACTTCGGCAGCAAGAATATTACGCGGCTCTAGTGTTTCGGTACGAGCAACAGAGGTGACACGATCTGCTACGACTAGCTACGACCACCCGCCGCAGCGATGCAGGCGTCGAAGGAGCGCAACGTGTGTACTACGCACTCAGTCGCCGTCGCCCGACGCAGGTCATTTGGCATTCAGGGCTTTCCACCCCGGGTTCTTCGCTTGTACTTGGAACCGAGTATTATTTCCTGTGCGTGTGTATATGCTCAGTGGCTGGATATGGAGCTCATAGGGCAGTTCTTCAGACTCAACTGCGACTCAAAGTTGACGGCGGAAGGGCTTGCAGCAACGCTTTCGGTTGCTGCACGAGTGCGACGACCACACGGATAAATTTTAAGATTGCTGCTAGCAAGGTGGGCCATAGTCGCTTTATGTTGACACGATTTTGCGTGTAAGTGCCTCGTGCCAAGGCGAATCTATCGCGTTTCTAATCCACCTTTGTTTGTGTTGTTTTTAGCACGCACGACCGACTGCTAAGCAAATGCTTCTGTACCGATCACGGAGGGAATGTCTTCGGCCTTACATTGCGGAAGGCCCAATAAAAAGTCAAATTCATTCAGCGAGAAAACTTCCTTTTCGAGTGACCTCCTGATCGATAATTTCTCCCGTACTTAAGTGCTTTAATTAACACGATCGATTAAGTTTGCGTCCCTTATTGATGCGCCCGCCTCTGTCACCGCACTGGCCGCCTGCAGCCGCTGCATACACGGACTCAGCGTCACAAGTCTTCATGGCTACCACGTGCTTTGTGGCAGCAGTTACCGCCGGACTTCACACGACTTTTCCCCCCTGAAGACGACAATATCTTGTCCCTGGTAAAGGCTGCCCAGCGCCTGCACTAGCCTTCAACTTGAACTCTGTAACCTTGCGCATGTGTGCGCAGTTCCTGGGTCCCCAGGTTGGGTTGCAAGCCTCCCCGGCATGGGCAGCTATGCCTTTTTGCACCCCCAGCATGCCTGGGATGCCTAATCCAATCAATGCGAATAAAGTATTATTATTAATATTATTAGTTAGGACATTTGTGTGCCACATGCGGCACTAATGCTTGGCACGATGTGTGCCACTGGTGGTATTGTGAATTGGTTTACTTCCAAAGCTAACAGTGTGACAGGTCGGACCATTCAATTTGCTAAAAATGTGGCGATATGGGAATTTCGTTGCATAACTAGCGTTTTACGTCTAAGATTGATAAGAAACATGCTCATGTGATGATGCATGTCTACAGCATAAGCTTTGCAGATCCAGAATGGATGTGCTATAGGCTACAGCCTCAAGATTTTTAATGGACCAAATTGGTGATTACACGGCAATAAATATTGTGGTGAAAAACTGCCCATTGACTCGGTGAGTTTTGATCGTGACCGTTGGTGTGCTGTTGGCAAATTAGGTAATGGTACACCTTTTCCCTGACCATCTGGCTTCAAGGAACATTGCATCTAGATGTGCTTAAATATCTTTATTTCAAGGTTCAATGGACCCCTCTGCATCATTACAGGAGGGCAGTCTCAAGCCACAACAAACAGCAGTGAATATAAAATGCATAATAACAGGCACCAGTGTCCAGAGTATAGTCCGCAGAAGCCAATTTGAGCCTAAAAATGTTTTTGTTTTGTTTAGATAGTTTGCATTTGGTGTATAATCTGCAGGGCCCGATTTCCGCGCCCAGTGCGTAGTCCGCCAAGCTGGTGTGTTACGTCTTCGTGCTTTTTTTCCTGGGTGGCATTTTCTTCAGAAGTTCTTCGGCGAACGCTATAGGCCTGAAGAACTGTTCTTGAGGCCCATATCTAGCCACTGAGCACACACAAGCACAAGCCGTGAATGCCAAACGAGCAGCGTCGGGTGACGGCGACTGACTGCGTTGCGCCCCTTCGACGCCTGCATCGCTGCGGTGGGTGGTCGTAGCTAGTCGTAGCGAGATGATCTTCACTTCAAGCAAGAAATATTGCCGTACCATTGTCAAGATATGTGTGCAAGTGTTCGACGATGTGGGCTCTCTCACGTTAGTGCAGTTTTCAAGAAAGGCACATATCAACAATGTTGCGTGTTTGAGGCTGAAACTATGACGCATACGTATATAAACCTAAATTTATCGGTCTGCGGCTACAAACATTTCTGTTGACGTTGCTTAAACGATGTAACCGTTCAGGCCTCGCATTAAATGGTGTTGCGAACTCTTCGGTTGTGTATGAAAACCTATTTTTGACCTAATAAAAAACATTTTCAAAAGGACACTGTCTTCTGCTGATACATATCTTCCAATTTACAATGCAGAGGCAAACAGAAAATCAACTGCATACATCTACCACTTAGCATAAGCACCTTTGGCATTCATTCTTGAGCACACTCAATAATCAGCTTAGTTTGCTCTTGTTTTAGAAGCTTTGCCCTGTTCTGTAAAAAGAAAACAGTTAAAAAAGCTTTACCTTCGTTTTCCTTGTCGCATTTAATAGAC